GCCTGTGTTGATGAAAGCGGACACAAGCCTCTGTCCACGCCATACAGGTTATGTGGGCCGGGGGTGTTGCCTGCTTCTAACATACAGGAGATGGGATTCTGAACAGCCATTGTCAGATTAATATATATATATATCTCCGATTAGCCTTTTTTTTTCATATGGGTGGAGACTGGGTGGTACCATGACCCATAATACAGCTGTGTGACCACTGTACAGGCCACCTCCCTCCTCCACACACCTACACTACTCACCTATGCCAATCGCTCTCCTCATAAGCTGCATCTGTCTCCTGTTTTCCGGGACATCAGTAATTTTAGAAACCGTTTTCGTGCGTTATTCAGTGACATGACAAACTGTGACGAATAGTCCAAGATATACATGTCTCCTGTCTGTCACTGTTCGTTGTTCTGTCTATCTTTTTACGGATGCCTCGTCAGTGACCTCTGGGAGAAACAAAAGGGAATTGTGTGTACGCTATTCGGGTCATTGGTTAGCCTACATTATTAAAATTCACTCCTCTTGTTCACGGTCAGGTATATTGGGCTATTGGGTGCACGGTGTTGTTATTTCTATGAACTATTTATGCAGCCAAGTCTTGCGTTTTAGAGAGAGAGAGAGAGAGAGAGAGAGAGAGAGAGAGAGAGAGAGTGTGTCAAAAATATATAAGATAAATCTGCAGGTAAATTAATTAAGAGCTGTGTCCTGTGTGGGCCTCAAGGTCGGTTAGGTGCCAGTAACCTTGCTGGGTAAAAAGGATATTTCCCCGAGACCCGTTCCCTATGTGATCGTTTTTGTGACCCTCGCCAGGAATTACCTCCCGGCGCTGTGCCTCTTAACCTCCATCGGTGATTTTATTGAGTCTTGTTGGTGAAAATAAATCACTTTTACTCCTTTATAATTGTATATCTTAAACATTGTTCAGAGATCATCATCTAACGAATGGTTTCTCTGTATACTTTTTTCTATGATTGATTGGTATGGGTTGGGTTAGGTTAGGTTAGGTTAGGAGTAAAAGAGAGTGTTCGTCGTGTCATGACCGTCGTTCACACGTTGACTCAGTTGACAATGGCGTCGGTATGTCCGAGGTGAGGCCGCAGTTAGCCTTGGGCTGCGTGAACCACTGCCCAGATTCCATGAGACGTTATGGTGCAGGGATTCAGTTGAAGGGCTCCAGGCAAGCGTGAAGCTCCCGAGTATGGTTCTTGAAGCCGCTTGGCTACGATCAGCTGGTCTGGTGGGTTCATTTTCGGTTACATTACCTCAATGTTGGCATTACCAGGTGCCAGTCGAACCCTGCAATCAAGACACATTTCCTTCCCTAAAAGAGTAAAATAAACCGTGTATGAAGTTGTTTAGGTACAGTGTGCTAGCTAATATTATAAGGACTGGAGATGGGGGTGTCCGGTGTGGGCCTCAGAGCTATACTGTGTGTGTGTGTGCCGTCCGTGAGCAGCCGGTCGACTTAGGAAAGAGAGTATTGTGGAACAAGGATTTGTCTTGTTTTACCTACAAGGCCGCGGAGGCTTTGAGTCCAATAATGCCTGCAACTCGGCGAGGTTAACCGGCGCACAACAAAGCTTACCAAACATTTATTTTTTCCTCTCCTACTTTTTCTCAAACGGCCTTCAAACTTACCTAGAGAGAGATTCTTTGTCATGAGGAAAATTACATACGTGCTGATGACATTTTTACACTAGGTCACCATTGTATACCCGCTTACCATGCAAATTTTTGGTGTGGCATCAACCACAGGATGAACGCTGGAGGGGCTCGCTGCTCCCCGTCTTTTAATAATTCTGACCCTCAACACAAAAGTTAAGAACATCATCAGTGTTTCCCGGAAGACTTGTGTTGTTACTGTGGAGAGCTGCTGTGTCCTGTGGCTCCTCTGTGTGTGTGTGTGTGTGTGTGTGTGTGTGCAGTAATACCCACATAACTTCCCTTCGTCCTATTCGTTGTGTTTACATACATGACTGTGTACGGATATAATAGCATATGTTGACACCATTATCATTCTTATGTATTTGTGTGAATGTAAATACCTATACAGTATATCCTTATGTACATTATCCATTAATATTGTGGGACACTCACCTCTTCCACCCTCATAAATTACACGGTATTACAGCCTCCTTGTATGACTCAAAGGTATATAAAACAATAGCCAATACAGACGTGGTCCTTCTCCTTCCACATGAATGATTTACAAACCCAGCGTAGACATCAACTGTGTTCCTCAGCACCCACTAACACAAGGGTAAAAATCTCGTTGCCTCAGGAACCTGATACCTGTTTGTGAGACCTGAAGGGGCTGGGTATGACCTGGGGCAAGGGCACGGTGTGGGGGTACCCAGAGAAGGAAGAACAAGTTGGGGAGGGTGGGAGGAGGGGGAGGTTGTAGTCGTCTTGGTAGTAGGGTAGTGTGATCAGCTGATGCGGTTTTGGGTTCAGAGCAGTACCTCGGGGGGTGAAAAGTCTACGGTAGTGAGACGGCCTTCATCAGTCTTGTGGCCTCGAGGGTGTAAGAGGGGGAGGGCTGACGACGACATGGAACAGGTGAAGATCTATTGCATACCCTTCCAGATACCTTCCGAGAGAGAGAGAGAGAGAGAGAGAGAGAGAGAGAGAGAGAGAGAGAGAGGTTCCATTCATTTAATAGTCTTCTATAACCAAAGACTTGTATACAACACTCAGCTAATTCTTTACTATATGGCCTTTTATTAACTGCTTGTGACGCACGTAGACGAAAATAACATCATTAAAAGTTGTTAAAATTTCTTAAAGTATCGTTAATGAACTTGAGTTAAATTTACCGTGTATTAACAAGCGAGTAATTTGGTCAATATAAATAATATGAATGAATCTGATATGCTAAGGGATCTTATTATATTTTTTTTCATTACCAAGTTATACAGTGAATAATTTTCGTAGGACACTGTAAATGCTTTTTTTTTTTAATATTTATTGCAATTTAATAGTTGTATCTTGTCACTTTGTAAACAACTCACTTCTTTGGGGTCACTTTGTAAATCGCTTTTTTACGTTTGTTTACACTTTCATTTTTCATCGTTCTTTTGATTCCACCTTCTTCCCTCACCACACTCATTCATACACTGGTCACACTCATTCATACACTGGTCACACTCATTCATACACTGATCCCACTCATTCATACAATGGTCACACTCATTCATACACTGATCCCACTCATTCATACAATGGTCACACTCATTCATACACTGATCCCACTCATTCATACAATGGTCACACTCATTCATACACTGATCCCACTCATTCATACAATGGTCACACTCATTCATACACTGGTCCCACTCATTCATACACTGGTCCCACTCAGGCATTGATCAAGCTTTCAAACGTGATCATTAATTATGTTTTTACGTTTAAATTTCATCAGTATTTATGTAGTGTAAATAAGGACAAACTTGAAGAAATAAACAAAATCTCAAACAACGTGAATAAAAATGAAAGTAAAAAAATCCATTACTGATGAAGAAAACCCAAATCCCAGGTATTTTCATTAAAGTTATTAAAATACTATTACAAAATACCAGGTAATCCAAGTTGTGGTGTTAAATAAAATCCCACAACTTAATTATTTTTTGTTTGTTTTTGGTAGTAGTTAATAATCCTAGGAAGACTAACGCCATTATAACCCTGAATAAATTGCTAAGTTGTTTTATGTCCACTATTTACCTCACCTGTAAGTGATGGGGTGTGTGTGTGTGTGTGTGTGTGTGTTTGTGTTGTCTGTGTGTGTGTGTGTGTCTGTCTCTATCACCACATTCTCAAAACCATCACCATCTCTCAACACCATCACCATCTTTCACCTCCATCACCATCTCTCAACACCATCACCACTACAACACTCATCAGAACACACAACATCAAGCAATAAATCTTCACTATATCACCACGAGGTTGAAGCACAAGTGGCGTGCATTAAATAAAGGAAGTCAGTAGGGTGGCCCCACCTTGCTGCTGGCACTGTCTTAGTGTGGCTGAGCAGCTGCTGTTATCACTCACTGTTCATTGGTTTAGTGACTAGGGTGTTAGTAGGGTGCAGTGGCGGCCCAGCCTGATGTTGCTTTCACCGTTTTAGGATGAGTAGAGTGTTAGCAAGGTGCACAGAGGCCCCACCCTGCTGCTGCTCTCACTGTGTCAGGGTGGCGAGGCCGCTGGGGGGCCCCGCGCTGCCCTCCGCCTCGCCCAACACTGTTACCACCAGGTACTTGACTTAGGGGATGTATAAACCTCTGTTGATGTTCAGTTTCCGTGGTCAACCTCAGAGAGTTTGGGACAAAAGGCGTTGGTCGGTAACCCCAACGGCTTTTTAATATAAACATGTGCGGTCGGCGGAAATGAGGTCAGGAAAAGACGTTTGTGTAAAGTCGGACGCCAAAAGGTACGTAGGAAGCGGTTACCCCTCGCCCAAATTATCGGGAATAAAAATCACTTCCTCGGCTTTGATCGTCAACAATGTGGTTTGCGGGAGCGCACGTGGCCAGGCTAACCTTTGGCTGCAGGTGCGCGGCTTTGAGGTACGTTGGCGGCTGCAGGAAGTACCAGCCAGGAACTGAAGCGGTCCGACCCTCCACGCCAGGTTCCGGGATCCTTACCTGTCCTGCAGCCGCTGTCACCGTCCCCGTTGCCGCCCAGGCGGGCCGTGAGGGACCCCGGGGAGGGAGGCGCCACCCTCCTCGCTACTGGCACAATTTATGAAGACTTTTGTTGTGAAATGAACTATTTTTGCTGTGTATCGTTGGTAAACGAAAAATGACGCCATTGGCGGAAGGTGTAGTTGGAGCGTGCGGGGATTGGTTGGTGGTGAGAAGCAGCCACGCCCCACGCGAGGGGTGGAGCCACTCTGGCCCCACCCCGTGACCCGCTGACCCGTCCTCCTCTGCGCATGCGTCGCCACCTGCACACTTGTGAATGATAGCAAAAGTGAGCGGGTGGGGGACGGCGTGGCAGGCGCGCCATTCCGCGTGAAATGAGCCGTTAGTCAGAACGGTACCATCGTGGTGAACACACGTGTAGCCCGGAGCAGCTCGCCCAGGCTCTCCGCCGCCACCACCGCCCTCCACACACCCGCGAAAGTGATATTACATTGTTGGCTGGCCAGTTTTTGCCGGTGCGCCCGTGGTGGCAGTGCTCGCGGACCAACGCCTCACTCCGTCCCCGCCCGGGCCCGCAGCACCACCTCCGCCTCTCCGACTCCGTCTAGTCAGCCTGGTGGTGCCCGGCCAAGGGTACTGCCTTCGGCACCCCCCCTCCACTGCCGCCCCCGCCTGCGCCACTTAGGTCTAGCTGTGACGTCACATATAGCACCGTGCCCTATACTACGGCACGTGTGCATGGCGCCCTGATTACTCAGTGTTGGACTTGGAGTAGAGAGAAGTGGAGGGTGTTCCCTCTCTCCTAGTGTTAAGACAGTGCAATAAGAGTGACAGTTGCAGGATACTTAGCCACCACTAGTGCCTCGCTTGTGTTTACCTCCGGGCAGTGTCCATGCCCAGGACACCCTCAGCCCATATTTAGAAACCTACTTGATCGCTTCCGTCCGACCCTGTTTAATAAAGTGACTCAGCGCCCGTATAACTCTGAAGGAACTTAACCACGGCTCGGAGATCGATGTGAAGGATTTAGTTTACCTCTGTACGACGTGTTTGTAAATGAACCTCAACACAAGGGCGACGGTGACTGCCAATGTGCTGCTTGCTGCGTGCCTCCATGCTCCTTGTTGAAGGTAAGGCCAACACCAACTACCTCGCGCGGCACAAGAGCACCATCGGACGCTCTTGAGACTCACGATGCTGTAAGTGTAATTTATGTAAATTTTCCTAAAGTGAAAGGCGCGCACTTGATGTCTCACCTTCTCAGACACGTAAACAAATACTAGCAGGAGGTGTAACATCATCCATCATGACGACGACGTGTAGAGTGCGGAAGCTGTCATTTACCAACGATAATCGACTGTGGCGGAAGTCAACCATTTGTAGACTGTTCTTAAAATGTATTCCAACCGCTAAACAAGCCATTAAAGCTAGTTTATGTTACCCGAGAGAGAAGGATGCAATAAATCTTGGTGTTCTTGGTGCGTTTTGGCAGCTCGACCTTAAGATTTATATCCGCAAGATGTGCTTGAGTGCTTCCTGGACGTTAGCGTGACCACTACTCTGTTGTAAGTGGCCGTCGTGTTTAACACAGCTCACACAGGTGGTAATTAGATGTTTCTGGAGTTCTCTGTGGGAATTTTGACAGAAATGTAATGTAACTGATTGTCTTGTTGGTCTGGGTGTCAACTGCGCCATATTTCGTACTTCGAGTCGCCTTAGATACAGCTCCAGTGTTCGCCCGTCAAAGTGCCAAGAGCTTTAGGCACTGTGCAGCAAAGACTCTTTGTAAATACAGTGCCACGGGGCGTTATGAGGATAATGCCACGAGTAATCACCACTACTGTGTCGAGAAAACTATAATTTCATCAACAAACTGACATAATGCGACAATGTCTGAGTCCTTTTAGTCATATAGCCAACAGTATTCATAATAGGGGTGCGAAGAGTCGTGTTAATTACTCTGCCACCAGCGTTTATGACAGAAACTCAATGGCCAGATTAACGAGTCTCAAACATCTTTAGAATAAGTGCCAATAAAATTCAGAATAAGAGCCAAATAACAGTAATACTTCGGGTCATAGTGCCATGTACTCCCACCGTTAGGGGCAGTAGGTCATCAGTCGTAATAACAACTTTACCGAAACTCTGAGGAGTAATTATTGTAACAATTGAATCAGCATTATGGTAATTCAGGTGTTCATCAGTGCTAGTGTAATTGCCTTCTTATCGTGAGTAGCATCATGAACAGTGCCACAGTTTATATGGCACTCTGACCTGTCTCTGACCATTGACGATAGGATAAGATATTTTTAACGTATGCAAGAAGAGAAAGAAGAGGAATAGGCTGCATAAGCAAACAAATAGAAAGTTAGAAAGTAAGTTTACAAGAAAAAAAAATATATTGTTCATTTTCATTTTAACAGAAGAGACAAGACGTATATATGGGAATTGGCTAAAAGACGCTGTTAGTGAGAGATCGTTTTGGTTACTCACTCCAGAAAAGTTATAAATCGAGAGGTTGCAATTGCTCTACAAACTCTAATGTCGAGTCTCCAGTTAGATTGTTAGTTACGAAGAGAACTAAAGACTCTTTAACTAGTTATTTGAGAAAAAAATTTTAATAAGAAGTTAGTGTAAGTATTGTTGTGCATCACTACAGTTAGGAAATTTTTGTGGTCACTTAAGAGAGATTTAGGGTAGCAAAGTTGAGCATGAGTTAGGATACTATTCTTGGTCTTGGTTTATTATAGTCAACAATTTTCACAGGAGTGGTAGAGAGAAAATTCCTCTGGTATATAATTTACAGGAGTTAGTTGTAGGACTTAAGGCTGAGATAAATTCTTTAGTATCATTAAGATGCGTTCGGTGTCTGGGGGTCTTGGTTTACTCTTTCTGGAGGTCTTGATTTACTCTTTGGTCCAGGAGGGATGGTTTAGCTTTCTTCTGCAGGTCTTTCGGTTGTCTCAAATATCTAGCAGTCTTAGTAGAGTGCATAGTTTAGCTCCTCACTCAGTCTTGGTTCAGTCTAGTCCACAATTATGTTAAGTGTACTACTGGAGTGGTATTTTGAATGGTTACTGTAGTCCAGATTTAGTGTGACGCTGTAATAGTCTTTGTTAAATCAGACATGCATAGTTAAGACCAGTACTAAAGTCTTCATTAAATCCAGTACTACAGTCTTGAGTTTAGTGCTTAAGTATATAGTGTTAGATTAGTGTTTAAGTGTAAATAGAGCATAGTAGTATATGAGAGGAGGAGGCATAGTTTAGATACATGACCCACGTATGTAAGGTCAATTCTTGCCTTAAAACACTAAAGGTGCATCAGAGGAGGAAATCTTAGAGTACTGGGTGGAGTAGAAACGAAGGAGTGGCCTCAGACTGTAGTTAAGCACACTTCTTTTTGCTTGCGAGTTCTTGAACCGACCGAAAGCAGCCAAGTGTGAAGCAAACTCTGTGGCGTAACCCCTGCTTATTGTGTGTTCAGGGCCATGAATAATTTGTGGTGCGTCATTTTAAGACTGCTAAAGTCAGTTAAGAGAAATAAAAAGATAAAATGGAAGGTTTTAGTCCTGTGGAGGCCTATTGTTATGAAGGGGGAAGTCCACAACATGTGTGTTTCTGTGAAGGTTGAATCTATGTTACACTGTCACGATGTGTTGTGCTATTGTTATTGTACACGTTTGTCCACTAATTATATATATATATATATATATATATATATATATATATATATATATATATATATATATATATATATATATATATATATATATATATATATATATATATATATATATATTGTTTATGGGATATATAACTGGTATGATAAGACTTAGCCAGCTGAGTACCGAACATGGCGTGAACCTCATGCAAATCAGTGAATCAAATCATGCGAACCAGCGAACCATATCAATATATTTGTCTACTATGTTTGGTGTTTGTTTACACCACGAGCACGAGCCATGAGGCAGTAAACTAACAATACCCCCAACAAATGAGTCATACATTCCACCAGTGCTCGAAGACGGCAGTGATCAGCAACAAGAGTCGCTTACTACTGTACGTCTCACGTGCCAATGAACCACAACATATACGCAACACAAGGGAGATTTATGAACCATTACGCAGGACAGATCTATGAAGCATTATGACTGGGCAGATTTATCAGAGGCTTAGACAATAGGCAGTCCTGTATATGTCACCATTACCTGTAATTGGTCGCTATTATAAAGCATTGCCTCCGTCATGGTACAGCCCCGAGCTATACAGCGTGCATCAGGGCTCAGGTACTGGACTAGCCCTTAATTCTGTATACCTTGAGCCTAATAACAAGGTTTTACGTAACTGAGCGACTTTAATACACGGAATATTACTCCAGGTAGGCATTAGCTGATTGTGACGCTCTGTGTTTGTAATCAGTTTATAGATTTAAGTCACTTGTTACTTTTTGTTTCCCCGTGAGGCAGGTCACGTAGCTGGTCTATAAGGGGAAGTATCCACAGGTAAGAATTCTTAGTGTGGTCGGATCGTTACTGAAGGAGGCGTTCAAATCCTATATCGTTCAAGACTCAAAGGATCGTGGAAAAAGATGAATTCCCATAAGTTTTATTAGTTTCGTGTGTGTTCCTCATAGTTTGTAGAGTTCTTGTAGGAGTATTTGAAGCTTTGGTGTAGGTTGTTTTAATTCAGATGTGTATTATGAAAACTTATTAGTATTTTACGAGCAAAATATCCTTCACCTCAGTCTTGTTGACACAAAGGTAATAAAGAAAATCTCCAACAGTGTGGCCATACGAGTAAAGTAGAGGTATTTATGGTTGATAATAATAATAAAAATAATCTTTGGGAACTTCTTCAAGCATTTCTTGACCACGAATGTATATAAAAAATCAAGATAGTGTATTAGAACTCTCGAAATAAGTGCATTACGACAGACTAAATGAAATTGAAATTACATTTGCAATTACAGCAAGGCCAATATTTATATAAAAGAACAGCGGGAAATATTATTGGAACCCCGGGAACATAAATCCGGAGTGCGTGTTGTTGGCCAGTGACGCCCGCGGCCACGCACAGTCTCCCAAGCTTTTTCATATATCTTAGTCATGTTCCAGATCTCTTACAGGTGGATTGTCTGTTAATCATACTCACATCCCATTGATAGTATTCATTTATGCTCTAGGGAAGATCGAATTAATTAAAAATCCACTAGCACCTGTATTGAATATTGCCTGATAACCATCGAAGTATACGGGCAACCAAACTGCTTCATCATCGTCTGGTGACAAAAAAAATAAAATACTTGATCGTACGCTATTCGTCCGCCAAGTTTCATTTCCTTAGCGTATTGTATCCCTCCTAACTGTGTGTGTGATCGATGTAATCTGCAAATGACCGATCGATGCCGAAAATGGAGCAGAACTTTCTTGTAGTCATGTGGCGCTTAATAAGATTGTTCTTTGGCCATTTTGGCACATCCGTTTTCCATTCCCGTCCGATATTTTTTTTTAATAATATCAAAGAATAGAGAACCATCACTCGCACTGAATTGTCCTGCAGACATTCTTATTTAGAAGTGTTTGAGTCACATGGTTGAGTTTAATCATTTGTCGGAGTTATGTTTCTTCACCTACAGTATATTTAATTAGAGTTTTAAATAATTTATCTGTAATATGAATGTACAACTCGAATTGAGATTGTTTAAGAGTTCTAACAGTTGGTAAGAGTTGACGCTCCCTTGATGGCAGTGTAAGCGACCAAACATCATTTCCTGTTGTCACATGTTTTTGTTGTTGTTCGATCAGCTGTCATGCCAGATGCTGATAATAGCATAACATTTGTGTCATTGAACACATTAAATGTGTAAAATGGTATACATAAATTTATCACATTAGTTCACTATATATATTACATATCTTTAAGAGTTTTTAAATATTCCTAATTCTAGAAAGCTCATTCATATTTATTAATAAAATAAAAGTTTGTTTGAAACTGGGAATAGATGTGACAGTAACGCAGGTGGATGGAAACCACTTACACAGGTGTACACACAGATCTACAAACAGGTGTCTGGCGTTAACTAGCAGTTCCTCACTGTGTAGAAGTATGGGTGTGTGTCACCAGACAGGTTTCTAATTGCCTCCTTTATTTTGTTTTATTTATCTTATCTCTCTAATCTATCTCAGTAAATAAGTATA